CCCCAAAACCCCAAAACCCCAAAACCCCAAAACCCCAAAACCCCAAAGTGTTAGAGCATGGTTGAAAAGCAAACTCCAGATATTAGGTTAAACACTAAGAAATTTATTTAAACAATTTAGACCTGTTTGAATTAATCTCTGGGAACTTATGGTCGTTATCATATTGGCTCGCCACAGTTCCATGCTTCATGAAGTTCTTGGCACTCGCTCGTGAGTAAGAATAGTTTCTGATATTCGACCTGAGAATCTTCCTTTTCTCTATAGATAGGTTTAGAAATTAAGTCAGGAATGTTGGTGAGAGTTAAATTACCGATATTAATTTTGGATTTCCAAGAAGCACTTCCAATATTACTTGAAGAACTGTTCTTATAGCCCATTTGAGGAATCCCATCAGATATCTGGGATGACTTTTCATAGTAACTATCAAGATTTTGTGATTTCTTGTTCGAATACGATGGTTGCGAAACTCTTTGGTTATACACACTATAGCAAAAGTAAGTATTCCTCTTATTGCACATTAAAGGACCAAGAACATTCAAGGAGAAAAGAACAGTGGCAAGAGTGCACTATTATCTTACTTTTTACGCACGCTTCCGTTCTGGTATTTTGTACCAGAAAAACTATGACCTCTTTTACCTACAGATATAATAAATGTCTTACTGTTGATCTCTGGAGAGTGGTATTCTTTATGTGCATTGTTTTTGAAATTTAGGATATCTCGGGCCTTGACTTTATAAGTACGCTTGTGGCTATAAAGGAATCATCACAAAAGAAGTCGAATGAAGCCTTACGTAAATTTCTTCCTTCTCCTAATTCTACTAGGAGTTCCCATTGCTTTCTTGATTTTTCGATGGTCTAAGTCGATATGAATCTTATTGTCAATACCATCCTCCCTGATCGATTTTGAGACTAGATTAATAATCAGAAATTATGAAACTTTCCTGTATTAGATTTTAAGAAGCAATTTTGATAAGGATGAATACTTACATGATGGAAACAACTCCGAATTATTGATCGATTCTACCTTGATAGACTTGTTAAAGATGTTATCCAGCTTTACTTCCTCCTCTTCAGGAATGGATTTCTTACTCCCTATTATAAACTTAATTTTAGACTTACCTTCAGGAGAAAGAGATTTTTGAAGAGGGGATTCCGCCATTGGTTCTTCTCTTTTGAACCATTCGTGGTTCAAGATATCATACATATTAATTCTTTTTAATGGGTCCTCTTCAAGCATCTTAGCGATTAAGTTCTTAAAATCTTTACTCACTTTCTGGCCAGGGAAGCGCAATTTGCTCAAAACTGTTCTTGTTCCGTCCTTATTTTTAGTAACAAATGGGTGTTTACCCATTACCATCATGTATAGAATGATTCCAATAGCATAAATATCAAGTGCTTTAGTTGCTGAAATATCCTTTCTCTCTTTCAACTCAGGAGCCATGAACTTAGTTGTCCCTGCATTTGATCTTTCTCCTTTAGCGCCTGCATGTTTCATACCAGCTATACCGAAGTCTGCGACTTTGAGGACCATGTCTTCATATGGCTCTCTGTTGGGATCTATTCCAAAAAGACTATGGTCTCCTTCTCCGTATTGAGAAGAAGTCACTAAAATATTTTGCGGTTTAAGGTCTCGATGAATGATTCCTTTTGAGTGACAATAACTCACTGCTGAAAGGATTTGCAACATAAAATATTTAGCTTGCTTCTCATCTATACTATAATCTTTCTGTTTGACTAAGTAATCTTCAAATTCACCTCCTGTTGCAAATTCCATGATTAGACAGATATCGTCTCTAACCTGAAACGAATGATGAAGTTTGATAATATTCCTATGATTAAGCTTCTTCAGCATTTTTATTGCTCCCTGAAGAGATTTTCAATAGTATCAGCCTTATTGATGTAAGCTCCTGTCTTTATAGTCTTCATAGCGTATACTTGGCCTGAGTGGCGGTCTTCAACCTTGTAAACGCTACCAAATCCTCCTTGACCGATCTTTTGGAGGATCCTGAACTGATCCAAAATTTGACCGTAATTAAAATCATTCTTATTAAGTTCCAGATAGAGGACATCTTTCGATCTGATGTAAAAGAGGTCTTCCTCCTGAATCTCTATTCCTTCTTGAGAGAAGATCCTAAACCTGTGCAAATGATCAGGAGAAGGTAACCAGTCTTTGTCAAGAGCCATTTTAAACAGCCTTAGCTGGTTATTTCGTAAGCGGAAGATTAAATTCAGACTCACTTCTATCCTCTTGCTCTATTCTGACTGCTTCCATGAATTTTCCCTTTATATCAATCTCTTCACAAATATGGCTGATGAAAACCACCATTGATTCAATGCATTGAGAGTTTAGCTTGACAATAAACTCTTGTGTCTGGTTGTCTAATGATAACTCACTAGGGCTCTATATAGTCAATTAAGCATTGAAAACAGTCAGGGATTCTCTTTTACCAGCCTCATAAACCAGAATGTCATCAGAAAAAATGAAAACTTACCTTGTTTATTCTTAAGAAAATGAACTTGTCTGCTGTGAGACGGAACTCTTCTTCACTCGGACTATTCTCCATCTATGATTAACTATTTTATTATATAATTTATTCAGTGAGAATTCCTGATGTTGGGGTTTTGGGGTTTTGGGGTTTTGGGG